GTTCTTTACAGCCGACACAACACGACAAAAATAAAAATTATTACTTTCTACATATGGCTGATATTCAGCCGACACAAAATTTTAACAAAATACAAAATACAAATACTCTTTTATGTCGGCCATAAATAAAGAAGAGGCTATTATGTAAAGTAGTAATAGTAAGTATTTTGTTTTCTTGTGTCGGCCGAATATAAAAAGGCCAAGTGTAAAGTATGTGTCGGCCAGGTTTGGCCAAAAGTCTGTAAATTTTGTGTATAAATAGAGGGTTTCCCCTCATAAATAAAATCATCAATCCTTCATCTAACAATCTTCTCTCTACTCTCTACTCTCAGGCTCTCTCTCCGAATGCAGCAGAAAGATAAGAGTTTATGGTTAACTAGAATAAGTTTCACATGCAAAGTATAAAGGAAATAAAATTAGTATACTGAGTGAGAAAAAATAAAAGGACAGCAACATTGAATACAATTAATAATAATGAAGTGAAGACTTGGACCCATCAAGCATATCAAATATAAACTAAGAGATCATTGCCATGAGATGTTGGGAAGAAAATTCATGGCAAATATGGTTCCAGCACGTGAAACGAAGGGAAACTTCCATTTCAAAGATAATTAGATATTGGGAAGGCAAGTGAAACACATTAAAGAAGAACGATAATATAAAGTCATTTTAGCATAACGAACATATTTTCAGCCATGATCGAGTTAAGCTACATTCAGGATGATATGGTAAACAACAATTACAGTGAAGTATACCCCCAAAAAATGCTTAGAATGGAACAATGACTAATAATCTACCCTTAATAGTTGATTACTACTTTGACATGAGGATTTATCATTAATCATGTAAACTACATACAAAGTCCTAAACAAGTAATGACAAAGAGACATATTAAATAACTGTGGAGAACAATGACCAATCTGACATCACGTTGAAAAAAAAATAGTTGCACGTTTAAAAAATAACATCACCTAAATTTGACAAACATACTACAGAGCAAAGAAAGGATTGAAAATCAAGCCAATAGTGAACTATAGGGTATATGATTCCTACTCTATAACTTAACAGTAAAGGATAAGGGAGTATAATTCTCAACAAATTATTTTTAAGAGCAAAACATTGTTGTTCATGGCAAATGATGCTAAATTGCTATGAAATATTGGAGCAAACCATATCTTATTCTAAACAAGAAAATTATATGTCAACTTATGATTAAGATACATCGAATAGACAAGAGGAAGGAGAATTTCCAACAGACTACAAAATCTAAAAAAAAAACCAAGAAAACAGGGAAGTTTCAACAAAATAGTATTCGAGACAATATATTTCGACCCATTAAACTCGATGAAAGAGATGAATCATGGAAGAAAAGATCTTTGCACAACAACAACAAAAAAACAATCATAGAACACTTCTATTTGACACTCGAATAATTATAAACTTACCTCTTGATTTCAGCTAGCTAAACAGGACCCAAACTATTATTTTCAACCCATTACCTTCACTACAAAAACTTAGCTCTTGATTTCAGCTAGCTAAACAGGACCCAAACTATTATTTTCAACCCATTACCTTCACTACAAAACCCAAACTAAGAATCAGACAAGCACAATAATGAAAGAGACATCAAATCCTTTTTGGAGGCTAAACAGAACAAATCCCTTTATAACTATCGGGCACCGATTTATTTCAGTGAATAGATTCAAGATACGGAGTAACGCAAGCACGAACGTAAGCTTAAACAAATATACATTTCGATTCGCACATTTAGTTCAAAGTAGAGAAAGAATGACCAAATGTTGGATACTGATTATTGAGGAAGATTTAAGAGAGTTAACCTAGACTGAAGAAACTTTTGAAGACCAATCACAATTCACAAATATATCATGAAAAAGCTGATAAAACAAGAGAAGCAGCAAATCGGAACCATCCTTCCAACATCCATATATACACAACCATTCAAGCTATATTCATATCGACAATTGAAACTAAAGAGGGAGATTAAAAGAAAGGGGAAACTATATACCTTTTCCGAAGTAGCAAACTGAGACTCTAACTGTTGGAGACAATTCCACAACCAACTTGAGACTACGAGAAGATGACAAGAACTTGAGTTCAAAGTAAAACCGAAAACTTAAGTATCTCCTGTTTCACTGATTTGTTTTTTGGGTCTATTTCTATCTCCAAATCTTTATCATTTTCTGTAACATCGTGTCTAACTTTGTATACTCGCTCAGATTTTTCCCAATCTTTTTCCAAATATATTGTTTCCAACACTTCCAATGAAGAATAAAGAGAACTTTTATAGAATGAGATGGGCACTGATTTTGGGGGAAACATGTGAGCTTTTTCGGATGAAATTCAAAATTTTAAATTCGGAATCCTTTGAGGATAAGGTTGCCAACTCAAATGAGGAAAAATTCCCAATGGATTTAGCACGAAGTCCGTCCGATTCAAGGAGCAAGGATGAAGGAGCGAGGGGATGGAGACACCTGTAAGATTCTTTGAAAAAATTCGTACGAGAGGAGAGGACGACCGCTAGAGAGGGATCGTGTTGAAGGTTCTCTGGGGTATTTGGGTTTTGATTTTTTCTTGGTTTCATGAGTTGGGTCGTGTTTTTGCCGGAAAGAAGAAGAAGAAAATAGTACAGGGGTGGTAGATGTAGGTGAAACTTACATTAATATACTATATTAAAAAAATATTTATCATTTTTATCAATAACTTTTTTTCTAATCACTTTTAATATATTTATAATACATATTATAGAGAACAATTTATTATTCATATATAGTACAAATTTTATTGATGATTAATACATCTATCACACATTTTAATACACTTATAATACAATGTGTCAATTTATAACAAAACAAGCATAATATATTTTTAAAAAAAGTTTATAGTACATATTTATTGCATACATAATTTACTTTTAATAAATATTAGAGATTTGACATAATACTGCTATAAATGATAATAAATAAAAACTATCACTTAAATCATTAATTATTTATTAAAAGATATCATTCAAAGTAATTGTTCCTAGATGTATTGCTGTTGATTGTATTGTATGTTGCATTGTTATTTTAATGGGTTGGGTTATGGAATAAAGAGAAGTGGGGTGTTGATGGAATAGGCTGGTTGGTTGTTGGAATTGGGCCGAAAACTATTGAGAAAATAGCCCAAAAGTTGGTCTCAAATGGGTTTAAGGTGGGTAAGGAAAGGTTTGATTGGAATTTAACAAATAGCTAAATTGAGTTAAATTAACAAATTCGGCTAAGCTCTAAATAAGACGAATTAATATTGATTATTTAACGAGCTTCTTAATCTTAATGAAATAAAATAATTAACTTAATTGTAAACTAGTGGTTCAAAAATATAATCATAATCTAAACTAATTTAATAGAGTTCTTTATAAAATTAAAATCTTTTTGCGACGATTTTCAAACATTTATCAAATATATCAATTTATCTATAAAACTATATGAAAATATATTTAGTGATTATAAATTTGTAAAAACCGATAACATTACTTAAAATTATCTTTGAAAAGTAATTGAATTTTACAAAACTAATTATTCTAAATTTTGGAATTAAGAAACTCGTGAATTAATTCCGACCGAGAAGGGTCAAAATTGGGTGTCAACAACTGTCCTTCATTTTACATGGATTGATGCAAGAAATTTGAGGAAAATGAAATTGACCGAGCCAATTTACCGACCATATTTTCATCTTTAGGAAAGGAATTTGGTGTCGACCTTTGGGAAAGGAAAAGTATTTCCTACATATCTCGGGCTATTTGAGAATTCAAGCCACTTGTAGTTTGATATGCTTGATTTTACGCACGATTTGGAAAGGATTCAAAATTCACCCCAATACAGAATAATGGAGAGACTGGAATGTTCGAGAATAAGATTTAAGAGCGAATGTTGGAATACAACCGAGTTTTCAACTTCTAGCCTGCCTACATATCCTTAAGCCTTAGGAATCAGACTATTTGTAGTTCAACTCGATCGATTGAAAAGGAAATATATTATGCTACATAACCTTTGATTTTGGACAAGTCATAAATTAAGTCGAGTATGAAAGGAGGCTTGCAACCTCTTAGCCATAATTAAGATTTTACATGGACATAATTTTCAAAGCTCTTGGTGTCTTGTCACTTCAGAAAGTCGCCTCCAATGAAAACCAGGATTCTTCAGATGCGAAACTAAAATCGGTAAACCTAAAGAAATACCCACATGCCTTCTAACGTGGGTGTGGTTGTGGTGGAAGTCGCCCCTCAGTTCGCATCCAAAGAGTTTGATACTTCTCTTAGGACTATGTCTCAGTTCACTGCTAAGAAAAGGTTCCACGTTGTGCTGCATCCTCTTTGATGACTTCCGCACCCGTGGTTCATCTTTTGAGAATTCACCATTTCATATTCTCTTGAAAAATATTGAGATAAAACTCATTAGCATAAAAATGTAATTCAAATTGGGAAATAGTGTCTTTTACCGTGTAGACACCTAACTGCTCCTTTCAAATAATTGACGTAGATTTTCTTTAAATTTGACAATGAGAATAAAAATAGAGCAAAGGATGGGTCTCGAGCCTCATTCGAAACACCACAAAGTTTGAAAATAACATAGAAAATTGTCTTTTTCTACCAAGACGAGTGAGGAATTAAGAGCGGAGTGGATGTCCAGTTAGGCGTTTGCTAATTTGGCTTGCTATCTAGAATGTCTGTTGTGTCAATCATCTCTTCAAGCACAATATCACCTTCTTTGAACAAGTTTCGATTCCTTCCCCTAGACCCTTTTAGATTGGAAAAGACTAATAGGAGTGGGGCAATGATTTTGGAAAAGCTTGATAAATCTTCTGCTTATTTTGAGCCTCATTTGGCACCAAAATAAAAACTTGATGAGGTGCCAAGATCCCAAATTCATACTTCTCTTCTTTGGTTAGAGATGCTACAACTTTCCCAATCTTTTTGAGGTTGATTGAGATCATAACTTTCTCGACATATAAATCTTCTTCAACTTCAATAACATTAATAGTCACCCCTCCATGATTCAACATGAGGTTGCTATTAAAATTAGGATTGGCAGCCTGAAGAGTGACAACTTTTTGATCTATCAAGTCTTGAATTTTATGTTTCAAGTTTATACAATCCTCAGTAATATGTCCAGCACCACCAGAATGGTAAGCATAATGAAGACCGGGTCTATAAAGCTTCGAGTTGACATTGATATTTTTTTGATCAATTTTTTTGTATCAGGCCAGCTGATTTCAATCTGTCAAAAAGTTGTGTTCGACTCTCAATCAAAGGAGTAAAGACTTTAGCAGGTTTCTTCTTAAGATTTCGGTGATGAGGATGATAATTATTTCTTTGATGTGAAGGTACTTGATGGTTGTTTTGAGGATTTTGGTGAGTAGGTGCTTGTGTTTTGAAAATATGGGTACTGTGGTGCTCGGTAGCTAGGAAATGTACTTTGGTAGTATGGGCTGGAGTTTAGTAACTTGATTGGATATTTGAAGAATTAACTAATGGAGTTTTGTAATATGGATGGGTACTTTGGTAATTTGAAGGTGGAGTTTGGTAAACATGAGTCAGAATTTGGTAACTCGGTGGTGGAGTTTGGTAATTGAGAGGTGGAATTTGATAACCTAATTGGATATAGCAAGATGGATATGAATTTTGTGGATCTCGAGGATAACCTTTTAAGGTGAGGATTTTCTGAAGTGTCCTTTTCTATCATATGCATAGGAAATGGAAGACATATCCTCCTTTCTTTTTACACAATCCTGAAGATTTGGTAGGAGCGGCAACGCGAGAAATCTTTCTGGTTTTAAGCCCATCTTCGATAGCCTCATCTACATTGCGTATGTCCACAAACTTTGATCCAATGAGTAATATTATCCTATCATAATATTCTTGCTCTTGAATGCATATGAACACTTCAACAATCTCTTTCTCAGATATAGGAGGTCAAACCTGGGTGGCCTCTTTCCTCCACCTATACGCCTATTCACGATAACTTTCAGCAAATTTCTTCTTAATTTTCTCCAAAGAATAGCGATCTGGAATGATCTCTAAATTGTAGGTGAACCATTCGATGAAATCTTTATCTAGTGCATTCCATATACACCATTGTTTTGTCTCATGGGAGGTAAACCATTCCAACGCTTCTCCATTCAAACTTCTGCTAAAAAGCCACATTAATAAAGCTCCATTCCTTCCAACTCCCACGAGTTGGTCACAGTAGGCTCTCAGGTGCGCTAAGGGATTCCCTGTTCATCCGAAAGTGACAAATTTTGGAATTTTAAACCCTTCTGGGAGATCTAGATTTGGATAGATGAAAAGATCCTCATAAATCAACCCATTGACTTCAGGAATATAGAGAAGCTCCTTCATGGCTTTCTTGATCACTTCATTCATATTCAACTTGATTGCCTCTTCTTTTGACCTCCACTCTCTTTCCTATTCCTCATGGTGATCTAGATCAGAACATTTGGTATAAGGTTCATTTGGAATAGGAATTTGAAAAGTAGCATTTTGAGGCAATGGTGGAGCAATGGAGGGATTTTGGGTATTTTGAGTGGCTTGGTAATTTGGGGCGAAAGTCTTAGGGTTGGTATGTTGATTTTTTAGGGAAGGGACAGCTTGTAGGTTGACATTTTGATGAGGAGGGAAGGTTTAGGAGGAGGTGACACTTGATAAGATACGGAGGCATGATGGAAATTTGGGGCGGTTAGGTCGATATTGGGGGATTTTGAGTCGGGTTAGATGGTAGGTTCTAAACCTATTCCGCGCTTGGAGAAGGAAAGTGGAGTGGAGGTCTTTCATTTCTTGGAGGGTTGAAACCGAAAATTGGATTAGACAAATCTTGCATTTTTTACATTTCGACCCTTATTTCAGCAATTTGTTGCATCAACTACATAACTAATTCATTTTGATCAGCGGTGGCGGGTTGATCCAGGACAACATCATTCAGGCCAATCTCATCATTAATATCACATATTACTGTCTTTTCTTTTTGCAAACTTTGATTGAGGAAGGAATCTTGTGAAATAAGGATGAACAGTTAGTCTTGCCAACAAGATCAATTCTAAGTGCGTGACAAAGAAAATAACTCAAAAGATAAACATGTTACTCTATGTAGTGGTAAATAATACAAAATATGACACATATGACCACAAACACATAAAAGTTGCCCTACTTGAAGATAAACTAGCCCACGTATTTAGAGAAATGACTAAACAGATAGGAATTTGTCTATTTGCTTTTAAGCTTTGTGAATAAGAAATGTCGACTTGTTCGAGACAAAGTCGATTGGATATTTCATTGTCGTACTTCTGCTTTTCGATGGAGATGCAACTCAAATTTCTCTGTGAGAATTGAAAAAAGATAAAATATCTCAAATATCGGGATCGAATCTTGAAAGACTGCCTACGTATCACAAAGAGGAGAATTGAGGGCCTACGTAGTTCGATCCACTTGAATTTTTTTTCACTTGAGACGATGAATCTTTTTTCTGATATGAGAGTAATAATTGAAAAATAATGAAGTTCGTATTTTGTCGGGAAACTAAAGACTCGAGGAGTATTTAGATGCACTTTTGATAGTGACTTGACATTTTTGCTTAAAAGGTTCTAGAAAATGATATTTTTTTTTGAG